CTTAGCAAGCTTTTTAAAAGATTTGAAAGAATCAGATTTGGCTTTTAGAAATATAGTCCAAGTAAATATGGAAAAATCATCAACAATTACCATGATATAGAGATTACCACCTAGGCTTTTATTTCTTGAAGGACCAACCAAATCCATGTGAAGCAGTTCCAAAGGTCTAGAAGTAGAAACAATGTTTTTGTTTGAAAAGGATTTTCTAGTTTGTTTACCTTTTAAACAAGCTTCATAGATTTTGTCTTTCAGAATTTGAAACTTAGGTAGCCCAGAGACTAAATCTTTAGAAATCAGTTTGTCAAGATGATTAAGATGAATATGTGCAAGTCTTCTATGCCATAACCAAGATTCTTCTTCTTTAGTAAGAAGACAACTTTGAGATGAGATAGAATGCTTGATATCTAGCATGTAAATGTTATTTAACCTCTTACCTACTAACATTACCGTGTCAGATTTTGGCTCACAGATTAGGCAGATTTCTGGTTTGAAGATAACCTTGTGACCTAGATCACATAATTGACTTATACTGATTAAGTTGTGCTTGAGACCTTCAACAAGAAGAACATTGTGAATGGTCACGGTTTCACCATCTCCTATATCTCCAGAACCTAAGATTCTTCCCTTGTTATTGTCTCCATATGTCACGTGTCCTCCATTCTTCAATCTCAGTTTCTGGAATTTGGAAATATCACCTGTCATATGCCTTGAGCATCCGCTGTCCAAGTACCAAAGTGATTCTTGCTGTTGTTCCTGAAAAATCAAACATCAAGTATTTGGTACCCTTAATTACTTTGGGTCCTTAGTGGTCAAATTTTCTGTTTAACATATTTTGGAACCCATCTCATTTTACCCTGTGGCACAAAGTGTTTTCTAATATGACAGAATTTTATAGTATGCCCTTTTTTCATACAGTAATGACAAGATGAGAAAGGAGATGTTGTTGATTTTCTAAAAGAAAAGAAATTCAAATATCTTTTAGTTTTAACCCCAACCTTAGGTTTGTACCCAATTCCAGTATGATCAAAAACACAGTTTTGGGACTCAAGAAGTGTATCTAATTTTCTTTACCTTGAGTAAACTTAGACAGAGTTTTAATCAAATACTCAACCTTATTCTGCAGAGAGATACACTTTTCACAATTGTTGTTAGCAGCAACATTACCAGCAGATGAATTATTGTAGATTATTTCAAGATGTTCCATATCTATCTTGTTTTCTAGTAACTCTTCTTCTAGAACTTTAACCCTATTTTCTAACCAGTTATTTAGTCCTTTTAACCGATTATTTGTATGAGATAAATTCCTAGCTTCATTATGCATTTCATTGAAAGCAGTTAGTAATGTGCTGTAATTCATTTCATTTTCTGTGGGGGTTGAACTTACATGAGATGAAGAGGATTCACAGCCAGCCATTAAGCATAGATTCACTTCTTCACCTTCAGATACAGAACTAGAGGATGAATCATTGTCTTGCCAAGCTATGTAGGCCTTTTTCCCTTTGTACTTTAACTCTTTCTTGTTTTGATTCTTGGATTTTTCTGGACATTCACTCCTTATGTGTCCCTGCTTACCACAAGAATAACAAGTAAAAGTATTTTGAGTAGATTCAGTTCTTTTATCAGTGTACCTTTTAACCTGGCCAGTTCTGTTCTTCTTTCTAAGAAATTTCCCAAACTTCTTAACCAACAGAGTCAGATTCTCAGATTCATCTTCTTCAGAATTACTACTTTCTTCAATTGTCTTGAGAACAATGACTATATGCGTGAATCTTTTCTGCACATCTGCAATGGTTTCACCTTGCTGCATTTTGAACAATTCATAGTCTCTAATTAATTCATGCTTTCTTGCCCTTTTCACGTCAGAGGTACCCTCATGAGTGACCTCTAGAATCTCCCACATTTCTTTGGCAGAGGCACATTGAGAAACCCTGAAAAACTCATCAAGATTTAAGGCAGAGGTAATAATGTTCTTAGCAGTATAATCATATTGAACTTTCCTATTTTCTGCATCAGTTAATTCAGCCCAGTCTTTTTCAACAATTTTACCATCTACTGTATGAGTTGGTTTGAAAGGCCCATTAACAATTGTATCCCAAATACCCCTATCAAGAGATTCAATAAAGATTTTCATTCTAACCTTCCAGAAAGAATAATTCACACCAGCAAATAGAGGAGGCCTATTGATGGAGGCTCCTTCCGAAAAAGTCATCTTTCCCTCAGCCATTTAAACCTTTGGACCGAATTCTTGAGTAACTTACAAGAACCAGCTCTGGTACCAATTGTAAGAATTAATGGTTGAGTTCAAGAGGGGGGGTGAATAGAACTTTTGAAAACTTTTTCGAAAAACACTCTTTCTTTTGGAAGAATGGTTAAACTTTATCCAATCTTTTGTTAGGCAGATTTGATTTTAAACAAAGCAAGAATATAAGCAAGAATTGAAAAGAGATGAAAGCAGAAATTCAACACAAGAGTTTATACTGGTTCACTCTTTCTCAGAGCTATGTCCAGTTCTTGACAAATCTGCCAAGTTCCACTAATTCCAAGTGAAAAATACAAACCAGTAGATATACACCAATCTACCCCAAGAACTATCTTACAACACTACAAGATAGACTCTTGAATTAACCACCCAATAACCAAACCCAGTTACTGTAACCAGTGCAGATTCAAAACCCAATCTACACAATTAACCTTTGTACAAGTATATGAAAAGAATAAACCTGGACTGCAGCTTTAACAATATCAAAGTCCAAAAGCAATTTCCCCAACTCAGAACTTTCTCTCTTGATGATCTTTCAACAATCTTGATCTAAACGCCTTATGATATGAAAAGTTTTATGAATGCACAGAGAAAGGCACGAATATGAGAGCTCTAAGATTGCTTTCAAATGTTTTCCAAATTCTATATTCCAACAGAGAAATCAAAACTGTATTTATAGAGTAAAAGTGAGAAACTGATAGATTAAATCACTTTAAAATAACTTGAAGTAGCAGATGACCGATCAGAATAGTTTTATGACCGATCAGAACCAGTTATGATCGATCAGAATTAAGTTGTGATCGATCAGAATCAGATATGATCGATCAGAATTGAGTTGTGATCGATCAGAATATTTTTCAATCGATTAAAATGACGTTTCAATCGATTGATTTCATTTAAAAACTAATTCAATCGGTTGTTTCGAGTTTTCAATGGATTGAAACAGTTAGAAGAAAAATGTTAGCTCTCTGTTTCAACAGATTAAAATATATTTCAACAGATTGAAATCCTGTGATACTTCAAAGTGAAAAATAACATCTCTCTGTTTCAACAAATTGAACTTGATTTCAACAGATTAAAATTGTGAAACCTTTAATATGAAAAAAATCATTAAGAACATTTTAACCTGTTGATTCTGCGATTCAATCAATTAAAGTTTTGACAGCATATGAACATTTCCTATTTTAAGTGATTTTAACAGATTGAAACTTCTTTTTAACAGATTGGAAAACTCAGTTTTTCATGCTGTAAAATAAGTTCAATGAGATACATCATTTAAAGGCGCTTATCACAAGATCTATTGATCAATCAAGAGATTAAATTCTAAACCTATAACCTATTCACCTACACACCCACAAACTAAACTCTATAAACTCTTTATGTCTTCATCAAATCCAACAAGTGCTTCAGCTAGAAGCAATAAGAATCACTGAGTGAGTTTCTTGGTGGATTATGTGTTGTGTCGTCTCTAGGAAAAACTGTTGTTCATCCTTTGTGGATTCAAAGGAGGTGTCCATCTCTTGTGTGACTCAAGAGAGGTGTTTTTTATTTCTTATCTTTTTCAATTTGTAATTTGTTGTAAACTGTGATTATAGTGACAACGTTAATCCTCTTTTTAAGTGATTAGCAACTGGACGTAGGGTCTTTTGATCTGAACCAGTATAAATCAACTGTGTAATCTTCTTTCCCTTATCTCTTTACTTTACAAAGCATTTTAATCAGTGAAATTTGGGCAAAATTTCAAAACCCTAATTTTTGTTTAAGAAACCAATTCACCCTCTCTTGGTTTTTGTCCCTAAACGCGAACATTCCGCTACGTGATTCTAACAAAAGCCGTTAGTGTTGACAAGTTTGTATGGAGTTGATCCTACTATGGCCTAGCAGAAAAATAAACAACATGGATGACAAGAATAAAGCAAGCATGATGTGAAAATTTGATTAATTTAATCAAAATCTTCAAGTGGGAGATTGTGAGAAGAAAAGTCTCACATAAGGAAAATCTTAGTTTGATGCTTACTTTTTTTACTATAAAAGGAACATAATGTTTATCTTATAAAATACAGAAAAATCACTTTCTTTTCTTTCTCTTGTTGTTTTAGTACTTTAGAGATAAATTAAGAGAGAAAAATAATTTCTCCTTTTAGGTTCTCTTAGAGTTATTTTTCCTTTATTTTCAAGAGAGAGTGTTAGAGAGTGTTATTATTTACTCCTTGGAGGTTGTAATTTCTTTCATTAGTGAAATTACTTTTTTGTCTATTGTCATAGTTTTTCTCATTTTTTTTGTCTAACAAAAAGTTGAATACATTATTTACTTATTATATAATAATTTCTTAAATAGTTTTATAATTAGTAGTTAGATTGATAAACTAAAAAAATATTACTAGATAATTTTTTATTTAGATTTTATAAAATTTTGTAAATATATTATTTGATTTAATTTATAACAACTTGAATCGAAACTGTCATATATAACAATTTACAGTGATTTTTTTTTTTGTAAGTTGGGAACCTAATTAAAAAAATTATACAAATAGAGAGTTTTAATTTACTTAAATAGAAATTAGGAAATATTTGAAATGAGGAAGGATGGTGGATAAATTAAATGAAATGAAGAGTAAAATAGAGATTTTTTAAAATAAAACAGTGTTTATATATTTTCTTATAGGTGAAGCGAGCGATAAGAGGGGGAGAAGGGTTTGTTTTTGTTTAGGGCAGAGCAGAGAAGAAAAGGGAAGAAGAGATGGAAGACATTGAAGATTTGCTGATTGGAAGCAGAAGCACAACTCCACCGGGCTTCCGTTCGCCGTTACCGGCGGCTGTGGGCGTTGGCGTTGGGAGCAAACGGAATAAACTCTCTTCTTCGCCTTCTCCTGCAATCCCCGGCACTCAGGTAGGTCACACCGTTCTTCTACTTCTTCGTCTAATTCTTCTGCTTTCTCTTTATTTCATATTCTTTGTTTGTTTTGGTGTTGTTCCCTCAGACTATCTACATTAAGACCTTTGGCTGCTCCCATAACCAGGCAAGTGTTGTTTTGTGCTGTGTTACTCATTCTTTCCTGTGGGTTATCATATCATCATCAATCACATCACAACACATCTTAATTAATTAGTGAATAATTGTTTGATCTTAACAGAGTGACAGTGAATATATGGCTGGTCAGCTTTCGGCTTTTGGTTATTCGTTGAGTGACAATCCAGACCAAGCAGATCTCTGGCTAATTAACACGTCAGTTAGCCTATTCTCCTCCCTCCTTGCAACTTCATTCATACACTTTCACATTAACATCAATGCATCATCCATATATTCACGTTAAGTAATTACTGCTCCAGTTGCACAGTGAAATCCCCAAGTCAATCTGCCATGGATACCATCATAACAAAAGGAAAATCTTTAAATAAACCTCTAGTTGTTGCTGGCTGTGTCCCTCAAGGAAGTCGAAATTTGAAAGAGCTGGAAGGCATCAGCATAGTTGGAGTCCAGCAAATTGATCGTGTCGTTGAAATTGTAGAGGAGACTTTAAAGGGTCATGAAGTGCGCCTTTTGACCCGTAAGAAATTGCCAGCACTTGACCTTCCAAAGGTTTGAATTTCTACCCAATTACCATGTATATTTTTATTTTCTAAATCATGTGTTGTATCTTATGTTTTATGCTTTGGTGTAGTTGGTGCATATTAGCTTTGATTTTTGCAAATTATACTTCTGTATCAGGTAAGGAAGAACAAGTTTGTTGAGATTCTTCCTATTAATGTTGGTTGTTTAGGTGCTTGCACTTATTGCAAGACAAAGCATGCTCGGGGTCACCTAGGAAGTTACACAATTGATATCCTTGTAAGTACTACGACAGTAAATTATAACATGTGCGTTCCTTTTTACTATTTCAGTTTGCTTATATGTGTATGTGTTAATTTGGAACTACTTCAGGTTGGCCGTGTAAAATCTGTCATATCTGATGGAGTCAAAGAGATATGGCTTAGCAGTGAGGACACTGGAGCATATGGTAATTTAGATTGTTGGCCAGAGTCCTTCAATATCTTTTCTTAATTTCAGATATTTGTAGCCTTGATCATAAATGAAATTTCCTGATAACTTGCATTGACCGCCAAGCAATGTAAATGTTATAAAATTGGCAGTGGGATTTATATCAATGGTTTCTTAGGTCATCATGCTTTACAGGTCGTGACATTGGCGTCAATCTTCCAACTTTATTGAATGCCTTAGTAGCAGAACTACCAGCTGATGCAAGCACAATGCTACGTATTGGAATGACCAATCCACCTTATATCCTTGAACACTTGAAAGAGATAGCCGAGATTTTGCGGCATCCTTGTGTGTACTCTTTTCTGCATGTACCAGTTCAGTCTGGAAGTGATACTATTTTGAGTGTAAGTCATAAAAATTATTGACGAGATTGTATACTATAACATGCACTAGATAATGTACTAACTAATGAATTTATCAGGCAATGAATCGGGAATATACTGTGGATGAGTTCAGGACTGTTGTAGAAACTCTGACTAAGCTTGTGCCAGAGATGCACATTGCCACTGATATAATATGTGGATTTCCTGGTTAGTGGATAATCTTTGTTATGTGTAATGAACATACGGTCTGACATGCATAGTTTTATGCGCAATAAACATACAATGTTAAATAACTATTGAAATTATGAATCGTTTTGTATAAAAACATGTGAAACAGGAATCTAAGCTTGAGAGGCTCTTATAAACTTCAAGAATAAATGACATTTTAAGTCGATATTGCAATTTGGATGTCATTTATGAATTGGAAATGTGAAAAACTTAATATGATTGAAATGATTTGGAGTTCATATAGATAATCTGGACTGTTTCAAGAAGAAAATTAGTGCATTGATCTTAGTATACTTATTACATGTTTTCAGGTGAAACTGATGAAGATTTTATGCAAACTGTCAATCTTGTTAAAGAGTACAAGTTCCCTCAAGTTCATATTTCACAATTTTATCCTCGACCAGGTTTGTGATCGGACAACTTACTATGGAATGCAAAAAACATAACTTCATTTTAAGGAGGAAATCTAAGTAGGTACGTGATAGGTCTGATATCTCTGCTGAATTGAATATACCTCTTATTAATATGAATTGACGTATCTATGAGATAGTACAAAATTTCCTCGCACAGTGTAATGACAATACACTTTACAGAATACACTTTACAGCTGGAAGCAATCTTCCCAATCCTACCCTTTCTCTCTCCAATCGAGAAAACTCCTTTCCTTCTTTTCTTTTTCCTCCCTTTCCTCAGCCTTTCCTGACAGACTTATATACTAAGTCTGTTCTGCCTAAAAAAATACAACGCCAACTGTTTTTATTTATTTATTCTATTTATTTTATTTTTTTATTAACTCGTTTTTTCTCTCCTTTTATATTTTAACCTATATCTATCATTACTCCCCCCCAGAAGCTTCACCTTGTCCTCAAGGAGAAATGTAGGAAATTCCTGGGATATAACTTCAGCTAATTCCCAACTACTCTCCGTAGGTGGAAGATCTTTCCATTGGATGAGGGCTTCCATCTTTCCTTGACTGTTGGTTCGTGTGTCCAGTAATTGAGCTGGTAATATAATTAATTCATGATCTTCTGTTAATGAAGCTGGTAATGGTTGAGGATCCGTCGATGGCTGAATGGTTTTCTTTAACAGTGAAACATGAAATACTGGATGTATTTTGCTGTGTGGAGGTAATTCCAATTTGTAGGCAACCTGTCCAATTCTATCAATCACCTGGTAAGGGCCATAAAATCGCGGAGCTAACTTCTCATTTGGGCGCTTAGCCAAGGATTTAAGCCTATAAGGTTGTAGCTTCAAATATACCCAATCTCCCACTTGATACTCAACATCCCTACGATGTTTATTGGCCTGAACTTTGTTTTGATTTTGAGCCTTAGCTAGGTTCGCTTTTAACTCCTTAAGAATGTCATCCCGCTTCTGTTGTAGTTGATTAACGCTGTCAATCTTTGAAGGAATTGTAGATCCTTTCAACAGCAAGGGTGGGTCACGACCATAAAGGGCTTTGAAGGGAGTCATTCTAGCGGAAGCATTGTAGTTGGTATTAAACCAAAATTCAGCCCATGGAAGCCATTGTGGCCATTTCTTAGGTTGTGTTCCTGTCATGCAACGAAGATATGTCTCGAGACAGCGGTTGACTACTTCGGTTTGGCCATCGGTTTAGGGATGGTAAGCTGTACTAAACTTTAATTTGGTCCCAGCTTGTCGAAATAATTCCTTCCAAAATTTGCTTAGGAAAAGTTGATCTCTATCTGAAATGATTATAGAAGGAAACCCGTGAAGTTTAACTACTTCTTTCAAAAAAACCTGAGCTACATCTGCTGCAGTAAAAGGATGTGCCATGGAAAAGAAATGGGCATATTTGGTAAGTCGATCAACTACAACAAATATAGTGTCTTTCCCTTGAACTTTAGGCAATCCCCCTATAAAGTCCATTGAAATATCAGACCAAACTTGAGTGGGTATAGGGAGAGGTTGCAGTAACCCTGCTGGAGCCAACGTGTCCGCTTTATTTCTCTGACATTCTGCGCCTAGGGTCACAAAGTCCTTAATGTCTTTCTTCATTCCCTCCCAATATACCACTTCTACCACCCTTTTAAATGTTCGGAAAAATCCACTGTGCCCCCCCAATGGAGATTCATGCAAATCTTTAATTATAATAGGAATACGTGAGTACGTGCGTGGTAAAACCAGTTTGTCCATATAGAAAAGTTTTCCTTTTACCCATTTGTAACCCTTACGGGATGTTGAATCTACTAACAAGTCTTGAATTATGGAAGTGAGTTTGGAATCTTGTTGCATCTGATCTTGCCAATCTTCCCATTCCTCACTTTGGAGTGTAGACAAAGATAAAAAATATCCTTTTCTTGATAATGCATCTGCCACTGAATTTTCCTTTCCTGCGCGATATTGGATCTCAAAATCATATCCAATCAATTTTGAAGCCCATTTAAACTGCTCCTCAGTCAACAAGCGTTGGTCAGTAAGAAATCGCAAACTTTTCTTATCAGTGACTACAATAAAGTGTCCTCCCATTAAGTAATGTTTCCACTTATGTATGGCCTGAACAACAGCCATGAGTTCCCGTTCATAAACTGATTTATTTTGCCCCCTTTCCGATAGTGTTTGGCTCCAAAAAGCTAATGGTCTTCCTTGCATTAGGACTGCCCCTAACCCTTTACTAGATGCGTCAGTTTCCACAATAAATGGTTTAGTGAAATCTGGAACAGCCAATGTAGGAAGTTGAGTGACAGCTGATTTGAGTTGTTCAAAAGCATCTTGAGCCCCTTTATTCCAATGAAACCCATCCTTAGTCAATAATTGTGTTAATGGTTTAGCTATTTTGCCGTAGCCCTGAACAAAACGGCGATAATATCCCGTTAAACCCAAAAATCCTCGTAATGCTGACACATCTTTCGGAATAGGCCAACTCTGCATTGCCTCAATCTTCTTGGGGTCCGCTGATACTCCATTTCCAGAAATAATATGGCCTAAATACTCTAGGCTGGATTGACCAAAACTGCATTTTTTTTTATTCAACTTCAATTGTTGAGTTTTCAATACCTTTAGGACCTCCGCTAAATGCTGCCCATGTAGTTCCACATTAGAACTGTACACTAATATGTCGTCGAAGAAAACAAGTACAAATTTCCTCAAATAGGGCTTAAGTATGGTATTCATAAGAGACTAGAAGGTTGCAGGGGCATTAGTCAGTCCAAAAGGCATGACCAAGAACTCATAATGGCCCTCATGAGTTCGGAATGCAGTCTTCTCCACATCAGATTTGCGCATTAGAATTTGGTGGTACCCTGATTTCAAATCCAACTTCGAAAATATAGTTGCCCCGGCCAACTCATCCAATAATTCCTCAATTACTGGAATTGGAAACTTATTAGGAATTGTTATCTTATTCAAAGCTCTATAGTCGACACAAAAACGCCAACCCCCATCTTTCTTCTTAACCAATATTATAGGACTTGAGTAAGGACTAATGCTGGGCTTAATGATTCCAGCCTGTAACATTTCTTGCACTAATCTCAATCTCATTCTTTTGCTGATGAGAATATTTATATGGTCTAAGATTAGGAATTGAAGCACCTTGTTGTAGGTGAATAGAATGGTCATGGCTTCGACTAGGTGGTAAGCCTTCAGATTCTTGAAAAACGTCATCATTGATGGCCAAAACCTTAAGTATTTCTGCAGGAATCTCCGGAGTAGTAAGATGTTCCAAATTCTCTTCCCATTTGAGTAAGTAGCAAGAGCCTTCTTCCTTCCATTCATGCCATAAAAATTTCAACGAAGATTGAGACCTGGACAATGTAGGATCTCCGGATATTATTTGTTCTGTACTGCCCTTACCAATAGTTAGCCTTAATCTTCCAAAATCAGCTTTAACTTCTCCCAAGCTTGATAACCATTCCAATCCCAACACAATATCAGCCCCACTCAAATCAAAAACATAAAACTGTTGCTGCACTTGATATCCTTGTAAGTTCAGAAGAAATCCAGAGCATCTCCCTTGACAACGAACCTTGTGACCATCTCCTACTTCCACCACAAAAGAGGGTGTATCTTCTCGAAGCAACCCACATCTGGAAATGAGATTAGAAGAAATAAAATTATGAGAAGCTCCGCAATCCAATAACACGACCACTTTTTCTGACCCAATGTTGCCCCAAATTTTCCACGACTTCTTAGTAGTTAACCCTGCCATCGTACATAATGATAGCTGCAAAACGGGCTCCTGCACACTGTTCATATTGATCTCTGAGTTGGCTAAAGAGGTCTCTAATCCAGAAATTTCTTCTTCTGTCAATAACAACATATGAAGTTGTTTATTGTTGCAGACATGATACGGACCATATTTTTCATCACAGCGAAAACAAAGGCCTCTCTTGATTTTATCTTGTAATTCTGTCTCGGACAACTTCCTGAAAGGAGCCCCTCTAGCACGTAGCCCCCCACTATTACTGCTAGATACACTAGCAGTATCTGCATTTTTACTTTTTCCTTCATTGACCGATCCTCCTAAACTATAATTTTCTCTGGTTAAACTTCTAGTGACCGTATAAGGCTTCATAGAACCAGTTGCTGAACGACTCCCAGAATAATAAGAAACACCTTTTGATGTCACCAAAATTTTTTCTTCCACTAATTGAGCCTTACACATTAATTCTGTCAGAGTTTGAGGGTCATACAACTTGACCTCAGCTTTGATTTCATCTTTTAACCCATTTAAAAAAATACCCACCAAATAATCTTGATGTATTCCTTTTAAAAATCCCGCATATTGTTCAAATTGCTCAATGTATTCCTCCACTGTACCTTTTTGAGATAATCCAATCAAGATTTCAAAGGGATTCTTGAGCATATTCGGTTGGAATCGCCGTACCACTGCTACTTTAAAAGCTTCCCAAGATGGATGTGGATTACAGGTTTCCCACCATTGAAACCAGTTTAATGCCTTTCCTTCTAATGCTACCATGACCGCTTGCATTTTCTCCTCTTCCGAAACAGCCTTTAATCGAAAATAACGTTCTAAACGATTGGTCCATCCATACGCTTCATCTCCTACAAAAACTGGTATATCTAGCTTCCTCCAACGTGAACCAGATAAATTTGATTCCGTAACAGGACTATTGAAATCTGGTTGACCATTTAATCCGTCCCCTGACTTTGCCCCAAATCTTTCAGTTTCTTTCTCTTTACTTGCTAAAGATTCCACCACAAATGTGAGCCCTCGAATCGAGTCTTCCAAACGTTGGAGACGTTCTTGCTGCTGATTCTCAATCCGGTCCCGTTCTTGCACAAGATCTTGAAGTATCTTGTCAACGCTATCTAATCTGGCCTCCATTCTTGTATTAACCATTCCTTGATGCAGCCCTTCCCACAGCCAAAGTCAAGACTACTGATACCAATTGATAGGTCTGATATCTCTGCTGAATTGAATATACCTCTTATTAATATGAATTGACGTATCTATGAGATAGTACAAAATTTCCTCGCACAGTGTAATGACAATACACTTTACAGAATACACTTTACAGCTGGAAGCAATCTTCCCAATCCTACCCTTTCTCTCTCCAATCGAGAAAACTCCTTTCCTTCTTTTCTTTTTCCTCCCTTTCCTCAGCCTTTCCTGACAGACTTATATACTAAGTCTGTTCTGCCTAAAAAAATACGATTCCAACTGTTTTTATTTATTTATTCTATTTATTTTATTTTTTTATTAACTCGTTTTTTCTCTCCTTTTATATTTTAACCTATATCTATCAGGACGAAGTCTGTAGTGCAGTGTAGAAATAATGTTATGATATCTTGGATCCAGAGGGTGCTGTTTCTATTGTTTGTTTTTCTTCTCCTTTTTGTGTAGGGTGGGGGGTAGTTGCTGCCTTATGAGTTGCAATTGTGCCTAAAGGGGTGAGGTTGTGCATTTCTGACCCCATTACACTTGTGATAGTCTTCTCCTCCGACCCATCCCGACCCATCCTTTTTATGATATTTCTTTTGCTTATGCTAAAAGTAATCCTAAATTGAATCAAAAAGTGCTCCTAATAATAATATTCTTAATAAATGCATTAAGCAGAGAAGTTCTTTGTTCCTCAGTATAATTTTCCCCAACTGTAAGATGCATATAATTTTCCCCACCTGTGACAAATAATAATAATAGTAATAATACTATAAAATGATAGGGACACCTGCTGCAAGGATGAAAAAGGTTCCAAGTAATGTGGTTAAAAGAAGAAGCCGAGAACTGACAAATGTCTTTGAATCATTCACACCATACTCTGGGATGGAAGGCAAAGTGGAAAGAATTTGGATTACTGATATTGCATCTGATGGAATTCACTTGGTAAGACAGTTTAATAGATCTTACATGTTGATTTTTTTTTCTTGCTTTTAAATGTATTCCATTTAAGTATGTCATTTGTGCATTCAATTCATTGGCTTTTAGCCTGAAACTCTGATTTCTAGTATCTCAACACTGAATATTTTTACTGCCATGAAACGGCTAAAGTCCCAATGAAAAAATTTTAGGAATAAGCGACACATGAGGTTTCCTGAATCCTGATCAGTCCTTTTTTTGCTCATTCCATTTATCAAGACTGGAGAAAGCCAATAACATGTCAATACCCTTTCTAGCACTTCTTCTGACACACTTTCTACTATTGATTAAAATTTACTAGAAAGAATAAAATCATGTCTAGAGCTCATTAAATATGTTGAACCTAAAAAAACTGTAATTTCAACTAAATTTTAGTCAATAGTGAAGATTGTGCTGAAAATAGTGTGTTAAGGGATGTGTTTTTATTATTTTTAATCAATATTAATTCAACAGCTGGTTATTTTGTTTCTGAACTTTTAACTGCCTTGATAGCTGTGCAGTGTGTTTCAAATTACGATACTTGAGATTTTAGTTGGTGTAGCTGCGAACGAGTCTTGCTTTCTTTCTATGGACTTATAATCTTCAGTATATCAGGGGTGTTGCAAAAGGTCTACTCCCATGTCATAAACATGGGTTTATGTCCTCTTGTACAATAATGAAAGAGAATGGAATGGGACGAAGTAATATCTTGTTTTTTTTTTTTCCTAATCTTTCTTTTGGGGGAAGGGGGTCCATTTAAGTGAATTCCTGGACGAATTCCTTTGAACTTGAGACTTTTACACATTTACTTGTGTTGTATATCATCTAATGAATTTGTTTGTCAATGTCGAAGGTTGGTCATACGAAAGGATATATACAAGTTCTCATACTTGCTCCAGACCATATGCTGGGAGCGTCAGCTATGGTTAAGATTACATCTGTGGGAAGATGGTCTGTTTTTGGGGAAGTAATTGAGACAATCGACCGTGTAAGTGGCAATAAAGTTCTAAACAAGTTGCTTCCTGATCGAGATTTGCCTTCTCTTTGCGGTATCTCAGCCAAGGCTGGAGGATTCTCAGAAGAGCCAGAATCTTGTGCCTGTGGAAGTGACGTCTGTTGTGGTATTGATAAGAGTGATAATTCAAGAGGCACAGCAGTGCCACAGAACCAAAGCAAAAAAAGTTTCATTGGATGGATGCTGAGGAAGCGGGAGCATCTGCACAAAAAGGTTGAGAGCGAGCTTGCGTCGGGATCTGTTAAAAAACATGATGGAAGGATGAAGTGGGACTTCGTAGATAATATTCTTTTGAGTGGAATATCTATCAGCATCCTAACTATTATTGCTCTAGTAGCAGCTCTTACGTTCAGAGTTTTTTGGTCCAAGTAAAGGGCTCTTAACAGTTTTTATTTTATTTTTTTATCAAATTGTTATTCCAAATTTTGACCTGTACAAATTTCTCAGATTTTATCATTTGTTTTCGCATGTATCCGCAAATTCTCACCCCTCACTATCTTGCTTTAGGTTTTACAGCAGTTGTATTGATATGATACCATTCATAGAAAGCCCTTTTTGGGGCTTGATTTATGAGAGAGAACGAACTTGCTTGTTCAAAATATTAGAAAGTTCAGCATTTCGTAATTTAATAAAGCTGTTAAGAACATGAAGAAATACTTATTTCCATAGCTGAAACTGAAGCTTTGGGATGTACATCTATTTTCATACAATGAAAGCGTGTGCTTTTGCTACTGAAATTGGAGGGGGACTATGCACATCTTTGCTCTACCCTCTTTAGTTCACGTACGTATACTAGTGCAGCTCCGTTTTTTAATACATACATTATTTGTCCACAATAATTGGATAAGAGGAGAAAAACTCAAGCGGGTCATCATATCAGCGTGTCTGATCTTGATGGCAATCTCTTGAAGAAATTAATCGGTACTGATGGCATCTTGCTCCTAAACCGAGGGTGACGTAGCATATATAGGCCTACGATAATTGCGATTACTTGGAAGGGAGTAATGTAAATGAATACGGCCCATATGAGTGAGAAGATGATGAAGATAGATGTAGCCCTGGAGTCTCTCCAATTGAGTATGGCTTGAGCTCTTTCTCCTTGAGTAGCCAAATCTCCAACCACTGTCTGTACTCTCCCTGCCACACTCCGTAATCTGTCATACCTCATTCTCACAATATCTGAAGGCTTTCTAGATGGAAAAGTGTCAAATTCCTCGTCCAGTTCATCTGGGTGGACAGTTTCTGCCTGTGACAACCTAGGATCCATGTGGGGTGGCTGCCTTGGCCTGAACCGGTAATTCCAAATCCCAATTACAAACAAGTAAAGAAAAATGGTGGGCAATATCAGTTCCGGGTAGCAAACCAGTATCAAAAACAAGACGTGAACAAGGCAGGTTGTGACTGGGTTTCTCCAAGTGCAGATGTCATCAAACCATTTGCAAACAGCTGTAACTCCTCTGAGGAGTGACATTATTCGATGAAAATTGGCTTTGCTTCTCCTTAGACTCCACATATGGTAATCCACATCAAGCATATACTCAACCGTTTCACTCCTGAGGGGTGGCTCAGCTCTAGATAGGCGAGCTGCAACAATCTGCATGGCCTGGTGGCGGAGCAAGTCTATGTGCCTAACAGGTATGGGTTGGACATAATGCATTTTGGGAAGCAAAGGCCTGCCATACTGGGCTACTATATTAACCCAAGCCGTGCATGTGAATCTCACTGCCAAGTGAAGCTCTCCGTTCTTCTTCAGGCCATTGGGTTGAAGGACCAGCAGAGGATAAAAATGAGTATACACTCTATCAGTTTCCAGAGTTGATAACCGGATTCTTACCTTTCCAATTCTCTGGTCTTCTGAATCATTGCTCCCATTAATGTGGTGATTGTCAAAAACCCCAATTGTGATGACAGTGCATGGATCATACACCTCCCAGGTATATTGCTCATTCCATCGAGGGGAGAGAGTGTCAAGCAGAGTTCTGGTTCGAACCCATTTGTTGCCATACTTGGCCACGCAGTATGCATCGGTGGTCCTACCGTCCCTGGCCTTCAGGGGCAGCAAATTGCGGGCACTCAGTATACCAAGTTCGAGAATGCCAATGTTTTTCTTCCTCAAATGTTTGGACGATGGCTGAAGATCACTGCTGAAATGCGTGGACTCATCAAGCACATGGTACCCGGCCTCCAGACACATTCGCAGGTGAATCTTGCTTGAGAATTTCTCCTTCTTTTTCTCCGTTTCTTCCTCACCAACCGCACTGGGCCTGTGCAAATTGAACCAACGAGAATCAGGGAGCTTGCTGGTCTCGTGTCTGGGTGGAACACTTCTCACTGATATGATCTCCCTTCCTAAGATTTCAGCACTAGGACCTACTTTGTCCTCCACAGTCACAATGATGAAATCCTCAAATGGCTCCGCAGCCACAAACATAAGCTCGTCGTTCCAAACTGGGTTGGTGCTTCTCATTTGAGAAGGCCTGGTGAGTCTCGTCCGGTTCCCTAGCTGTACTCTAACAACAGCGTCCGGGGCTCTTCCTTTATCGGAGGGAACAAGATCCTGAGCTTCGATGACTTGAACTCTAAGATAGAAAAGCTTGGGTGAGAAATATACCTTTGAACGGGTATTTGCAAGGTTGGAGTGACTGACGTTATGAGCGTCGGAGTGCCAGGCCTCCGGGAAGGACTCATCGGCCTGTGTTCCCATCCAAACTGCAAGCATGATTTCGCCATTGTTGTTCACTTTCTGGCCCTTCTTGTCCTCCAATCTGTACCACTGAGGAGCCAAGGGGCTGTCTGGGGGCACCCGAAGAGGAACTTCAGTCAGATCAAACATAACTCTCCCCACAAAATCATCTTTCCCAATGTCCTTGTCCTTCACCGTCACTTCAAGTAAATTTGATTGCAACCTCTCCTTGGAGAAGGCAAAGATTTGCTTCCAAACGGGGTTCTGATTCTTCTCCAAGTGCTTGGTGAGGCCCTTGTAGTTACCAAGCTTGACTTCCACATAAGGGTCAAGGCTTCCCGTGAAATCCATCACGGGAAGATCCCTTGCCTTCACCACATTCACGTACAAGTACTGCATCTGTTCCACCAAGTCGTAGGTGGTTGATATCTTGTCCCCTCCTCTGTAGCGCAAACGAGCCGCCAGTGGTGGAGTTGTCTCCACTAGTCCGTAATCGGGGTTTTGCTTTGGGATCTGCATTAACATCGCATTCGGTGGTCCAGCCTTTGCAAAGTCAGCCCTCCTCACCGTTTCCACTGCTGCCTGGGCCTTGGCTGCTGCAGCAGCAGCTGGTATAGAGTGAAAAGTCCTCACTTCCTTTTCTTTCTTTTTCATCTTCTTCTTCTTCTCCTCCCCGTCACCAACCACACTTTCCTCGTCTGCCACCATGTTGGGGTTTATTTCTTGCAAGGGAGGGCCCTGATCCTCCTCCTCGTGATGGTGAGGGTGATGGTGATGGTGATGCTGTTCAGCAGCAGGAGGAGGATCACTACTGGTGTCTTGGGGTTGTGGGGGAGGATGAGAAGGAAGATGATCATGCAGTGCATAACACTTGAGAGCAATATCTCCCCTGATGTTGGAAAAGAGGCCACGTTTCTCAAGTGGGTAGCGTTCCACACGGGCCTGGGACTCCGATAGAGGGATAGAAGCGCCTGAAAGTCTCACCCTTCCAAGGAAGTTGTTATGGTTCCGATCATTGTGGTTGTATACAACCACTTCAATTGTCTTGTGAGCAAGATCTCTGGGGTTATCGAGGTCGAACACTAGCTTCTCGTTCCAATAAGGATTCAGTTCTTTGTGCTTTGTCTCAGTACTTTGCTGCTGCTCATCAAACTTTACCTCTACAAAGGGGTTAGCTGACCCTTCCCCATCTTTGGGCATGAGGTCGCTTGCATCCACAACTTCTACCACCAGCTTGATCATCGTGCTATTATGATCCAATTCAATTATGATCTTCTACTGAGACAAATAATTCAAACAAAGAGTAGGGGTGAAGAAATAGGAGTCGGACACTGGCTCCTGTGAGCGGTAGCGGTGGGGAGTGGTGATGAGATGCATAAGCTGCTCATTTGGAGTATGAAGACAGAAAGATTTGTTAGAAAGAGAAAGAAATGGGATATGTGTTGTACATGCTATTGCTGTTTGGTATGGTGGTCCCTTCTTTCATGTGCCTTTCTTTGGGTAGAGATTCTAGTGGCTGCCTACTTTCTAGTATGTCTCGTTCCTTACCGTCGTGCTTTCCAGACACAAGAATATCAACAATATCCTAATCTTTATTTATTTCACTTACCACCCAAAGCATGCATACATACATTTCTTTAATCTAGTGTTTTTTCTTCAGTATATTCATAAACATTTCTTGGCCTATTATGAAACCAGTTACTTTATCAGAAATATCTGTTTTCAACCAGTTTCTTTATCAGAAATATTTGTTCTGGCTAATATTTTTACTCACTGAGGACGTGTTAGCTGTTTCGTAGATTTAAATTAATATTAATAGGGGTGTCGTTGGTTTTGGATTATTAATGAGGTGGGGTTGAAGAAGGAGATAAAGTTTAGGTGGATGATTTTAAAATAATAATAGTGGTGGGCCATATGGAAGCTACGAAAAACATTGAAGGAGTGTAATGTTTAATAAATAATTTGAAAGAGAAAAGAAAAAAAAGTAGAAATCACTTTTGATAGGATATCTCCCTTTCAAAGGAATTAAGGCAGATCCATTATTATTCAACTCACTCACCCCTACCCAATCTCCCAACTCCTTTCTCCTAAAGCTGGCCAAAATAATGATTCTACTTTTGCAGCCACCATATTAGTACTTAGTACTTATTAATATACACCATATAATCTTTTACAAATTTATTAGCTGTGTATTTGTTTGTCTGTTTGTAATTTGTTACAACTAAACAAGAAAAGAAAATTTTATTAGATTCATCTTGAACATGATTTCACTTGGTAGTAAAACACACACTACAATTGATGTTGTTTACGAGAGATTAAAAGAAGTTTACTAAAGGGTGAATCAGAATCAACTAAAGTGGAGGCTTTGAAGGTTCAAAGTGGGGAGGTTTGTTTTTGTCATACATATATGGTCCCAAACAAACTTTTCTATTTTCCAGTTCCAAACGTGAATGTCGGTTTCATATTTATTATTATTATTATTATTATTTCATTTATTGTTTATTCTTCTCCCTCCCCTTTTCATCCCTGAAAATGTTTTTTTAAAGCTCTTTTCTCTCTGTTAAACCTTTTACTTTTCTTTTTATTAATAGAAATAGTTGATGCATTTTATGCATGTTTATATTTTGAAAAACAATTCTCCGTTGTATGTTAAATGTATATATTTTTAAGTAGAGATTTAAATTTTAATTCTTAATTTTACTTGTACTTAAAGACAATTGGATTCAAAGAATACACTATTTTCTTTTTTTATAACAAGTCAAATATTTAATGTAGATATTTAAAAAATATTTAAATATTGACTCTTTGTTATTTTTAACGAGTCGTTTAAATTAACGAATCATTTTTTTCTCTTGATAAAATAATTAAAACCTAATTAATATGAAATATTATTAAATAGTTTACTTTTTGTGGATATCACAAGCGTTATTTTATTTTCTCTTTGTCAAATTTTTATTCTTTATTGTTATTGAAATGATTGTTTTTCTTTTATATTTAATTAATTTTCTTTTCTTTAGTTTTACCAATATATATATATATATATATATATATATATATATATATATATATATATATATATATATTATTAGTATTTGACTTTTTCTCTTATAATTGTACTGTGTCTATTATTGAGTAAATATTCTCTCAATCCTTATCTCATAAGCTTTAAGATAAATGCTATAATTCTATATATCTATAATGTCTGTATAAGTTTTTTATTCCTTAATTATAAAAGATACATTATTAAATTCTGGTAATAAAGTTCCAAAAAATCTATCCAAAACAGACAATAACTCTCATAAGTAATTTCTTATATTAAAAAATATAAATAATTTTTTTTATGATCTGATATATTTTTAAGTGAATTAATATTAATTTTACTTCATTAATTTTTTAATAAATTTTAAAAACTTATTTTTTCTTTTATTCTCTCTTGTTTTTTTTTTAATTTAATTATAATTTTTTTAAATAACTTATATAACCACGATTCTTTCAATAAAAAATTATTTTAAACGATTACTGCTTTATTTAAATCTCTCACTAATTATCTCCCGTTGGAATTCCTATTACGATAATACAATTTAAGACATGATGATTCTTCAACTTTCTTACACAATTGCATCATCATGTTAACTCTTCTTCGTATAATCATGATTTTCAAGAACACCATTTAATCACTATACTCTCATGAGGATGAAAAACAATGAAGAATCGCCCATAAATAATAATTCTAAAAAAAATTATAAAAAAGAAATCTTTTTTTAATAAATATTTAACGATATTTGCTTAATTCTTAGAGATCCAGGTTCGAATAGATTCATGTTAACAAATTATATAAATGCAGACAAAAACTATTTTAGAACACCAAATAATATATAAAATATAAATGAATGAATGTAAAAAATCAGAGAATATAAATTTGTTTATAATTTTTATAACATATTAATTATTTATTTTAATATTTATGAAAACAAATCCACCTATTATATATATATATATATATATATATATATATATATAATATTTTATTTAAATTAATACAAATTTAATAAATTATTAAATTTAAATTCTAAAAAATTAAAAATCAAGATAATAAATATATAAAAAATTTAAAATTAGTTGAGACCACACATATAGACACAATTGTATATAAATTAAAAAAAAAATCTATTGATATAAATTAAAAATTCAGAAATAGTATATCAGAATTTTTTATAACAAACACTTATTTTTAATGTATTAATTAATTTCAGTGTGTTTTAATTTTTAAAATTTTAAATTATTCTTAACGAATTCAAACATAGTTGAAAAATGATCTTTATGATTTGTGATATTTTATCATGTGTACAGTGCTTGGCGATCTTCCTTAATAGCTAAGGTTAGTTTGGAAGTTCAATTAGAAGGGAAGCACTACATTTATGATTATCAGTCTTTTCAATTATTTGAGATTATTAAAGTAAGTTTTATTTTTTTATACATCTCTTTTTTATTATTATTGACTGGGTTAGATCTCATTTGTTCAATGTTCTATTGCTAAGTCCAAAAGAACATAAAAACATAACTATTTATTGGAAGTGTTCACTTATAAATTAATGAGAACAACTATTTGTCTTTGAGGCCAAGGGGTGATTATGAAGAGTACACACTAAGTCTACAGGTGTAAATCCAATTGAAACTTAAAAGAAATAAAATTATAATGCGAGAATTGAAAACATCTACTTTTTAAAAAATAACAAGTTTTTTCATTGCAGAACACAGTGTTTAACTGAACAACAATTGGCAACAATAGGAGTAGTTTTGTTTAGAAGAATTATTGCGATAGATGGTTTTATGAAATAAAAGTGTTATTGGAGTGAAAAGGAGGTACAAATAAATGAAATGGTGAATGAAAGTGATGTAGGGTGTCGTATACTGAACGTGTTGTGTTTGACAAATATATAAGAAACACGAGGAAGGTGAATAGAATAGAAGAGTTTTCGTCTCATCTCATAACTTTTTCTCTCTACGATCTTTTGGAAGAAGATAGAACTCACTCCAACACAATAAATTGAAATAACAACTCGTCCAGTTTTTTAACAATAAAAATTATGAATATCGCTCACCTCTGGAAGGTTCGTTTCCTAGGACACCGCTGTAATGGGCAGTGGAACCAAACATGGTCCTAGGATGGCGACACGGAGAAGGGTAGGTGGACAAGTGGTGACACGTGGCAGGGTGTAATTCTATTTGAGCATGCAACGTGAAGGTAACCCCCACCCACCGAGTCCATTGACACTTAAAACGGAAGTAGCAATCCTAGAAAACAGGAACCAAACATTAGAAGAAGAAAGAAAAATAACAAAAATGATGAATGTTTTAGGAATGAGTCTGGTGATAAGTTCACTGGCAGCAGCGGGCTTATTGTCTCCCACTCCAGAGACGCAGCAGAAGCAAGGAGCCAACACCATCGTCAAAGAAGGCCACAGAGTTGTGGTGGTTGAATACGACCAAGATGGCCATCACAACACCAAAATCTCAATCTCCCCAGAGCAACCCTCACATCACCATCACCATCACGACAATCAGGTTCTAGACAACGCCAAAGATAAGATCAAGGAGGCTGCCTCGGTTCTCCCTAACTTGGGTGGCATTTCACAACCGCAAGATGCGGCATTTCTGCATGCCCCTAAAGAGCTCATTTGCGATGCCTATGGAAAATGCAAGCACAAGATCGTGGATGCAATGGAGAAGACCAAGGATAAGGCTCAAGAGGCCCTCGAGAAGAAGAAGGAGGAGATTTCTGCCAAAAAGGAGGCAGCACGGCAAGTGGGTGATACTGTTGCCAATGCACTTGGAAAAACAAAAGAAAGTGTGTATGACAAAGCCCGTGATGTGCATGATTACGCCCAGGACACTGTAGAAACAGCAAAGGACCACGTGGCTAATAACGTCTCAGACGCCTGGGATTCTTTGCGCCACCTCAAACATGCATTAAAAAGCAGTGTAGGATCCTTGGAGAGCCTGAATTCGTTGATGGGGGTAGCCAATTTGTTGGGGTTTGCCACGGCTTATGGGATGTGTGTGTGGGTTACGTTTATCTCCAGCTATGTGCAGTCGAGGGCCATGCCAAGGCATCAGTTTGCAGTGGTGCAGAGTAAAATCTACCCCGTTTATTTCAGGGCCATGGCTTATAGCATTGGGGTGGCTCTGTTTGGCCATGTCTTGGGAAATACAAACACTCTGCTCTCCAACAAGCCTCACAGACTGCAAGCATATAACCTTCTTGCCTCGCTTGCCACTGTTTTCTTCAACTCTCTTTACTTGGAGCCTCGGGCCACCAAGGTACGCTACCCATATTGATGACAACCTCACATATCTTCTTCATTCATTTATCTCCATATCCTTCAAAGTTTTGACTCAGTTTTTTCTTTTCTCTTTCAGTTGATGTTCGAAAGGATAAAGATAGAAAAAGAGGAAGGAAGAGGCAGAGAAGATGTGAGTGGTGAACGTGGCAGAACGGGAGTTGGAGAGCATCAACGCACAGCTGATCCTAAAGAGCCTTCCACCAGCGCAGATCAGGATGCAGTGAGATCAAGGATAATCAAACTCAATGACAAGCTCAAGAAATTGAATTCCTATTCCTCTCTCCTAAACATCCTCAATCTAATGTCTCTGACATGGCATCTAGTTTATTTGGCTCAACGCCTTCACCGCACTTGCTAAGCCATGCAAATTACCTTTCATAGTAATCCTCCTTTTGTGTCTTGCTCTTTCTTTGTTTTTTTTTTCTGTCCGTATCATGTGTTGATATTTGCAAATACTTCAGTCTGTATGTTTCAGGTTTATGAGTGCACTTTTTAGTGTTTACCGCTCCTTACGATCAAGTATATTTAATTTGTGTTAGCAAGCACTGGAGTCGTGGTGTAAAAACCTCTTGCCAAATTACTTTAATCACGTTTAAATGGAGAGTAATTCTTGGTCCTACCATAGTCACAAAAAATAAACAAGCATCAGATCGAAAATGAATTGTATATTAGAATAGTATATCAGGTCCAACTCTAATAAGTGTAATTATTCCAAAAATCAACATTTATTTTACAATATAGAAAACATTTACATTGCATTCTGATTAAATTCTTGACATCACTCTTCAGATACTGAAACAGAATCTTTTAAGAGTAAAAACATCATGTAACTGACAGTACATCTTAATACACCTGACCATTTTCTTCCTAGACAAATAACAATAACAACGGATTGACAAGCTTGTCTGACCGTTTCTAATGTAAATAAAGTCCAAATGCCAAGAAAAAAAAGAAGAAGGTAATATTAAGAACAAATTAAGACAATAGTGCAATAATCTCCAATGTAAGATGGGCACAGACTGGTGGTGTTAAAAGTTCGGCTATGGCTATAGAATAGAATTCCAACTAGCTAGTAGGATTAAGTTAGCACATTTGAATAGCCAAAGAACTTATTTCGTCTCATGACACCTCAACATGTATATGCATATTTTAATCCAGTGATATTAAAAAATATAATTAGCATCCCTTTAAGGTATCCAGAGATTTTTCAAAAATATAATTAGCATTCAGAGTGTCTGCTTGATCACCAAAAAAATCTGATAATTCATAAAATAAATCGTCAACGGCCAACCACTGCATGTATGGTCAGCATTTCACTCTTGAACCATACATTTACACCTACGTTGATGCTCTGTCAGTTCCTGCAATGTTTCAAGATTCTCAAGTCATGAAAGTTGGTCGCAACCCCAGGGGGCAAGAGGTGATTATCATCAAAACAGAGTGTGAAAAAAAGCCAGAGAGAAATTAAAGTCACAAGCATAAATGCAGCCACACAAATAAGAGTACCTCAATTTGCTTTTGTAGAAACTTCACATAAGCTACCGCCTCATCTAACATGTCTGCAGTATTTGTTTGCTACAAGAACAAAAGCAACGCCACATTAAACACAGCTACGTACTAATTTACCACCCAAAAAGCATTAAAAGAAAAATAAAAATAAACCCTACAGTCATGGAATGAAAGAGAGGAACGGAGCAAAATGAAGTAGAAAGACAACAAAATCAAGGGAAGATATACGGTAGAAAAGACTCTTCGAAACAGATACTTACTACAAGAAAACAAGAGCCAATATGTTTGTATAAGCGGGCTGAATGAGGATAAACTTTAAGTATTCAGGTGTCACTTAAATGACACCCAAGTGTCTAGAAGAACTTTGGGCAGGGAACTAATGAAAAATGCATAGCAGGAACTAACATGAGAGAATTGAGGTCAAGTTGGTTTAATTAAATAATATACACTCCGCAACAGGATTCTGGCATTCATCCAATTGTTGATTTATTCACGATGAATAACTAACACCTATTATCAATTCCAAAAACTACATTAATTATAAGGTTTTTGTTATTGAGTGCACAAGGCCATGTTAAGGAGCAGTTAATACACTCAATAAAATGCTTACGAGCGAGTACTTAACAAGTATTAAATAGTTTGAATTATTGAGACAATAAATAGGTTTCTTTTTTCACAATAGTTTTTACTCCTGTTTCCTTAACTAATTCTCTAGAAAAATTATTAGCATATTCCTAATTTAAAATCAAAAGGAAATAGTTGCCAAGTGGAAATTATACTTTTCTTTAGAATTCAGACACTACTTGTGCATAATAGAAATTCAGAGTAGGTTTGGTCAAACTTAGTCCCTTGAAGTTTATTTCTGACATACTTTTTTGACGCAACACAACAGAACACAACTGGTTTCTTTCAATTTGGACTCCAGCAGTCATATATGTCACTCTTTTGGAGGATGCTTGGGTCTTCTTCCAATAAGCTTTGCGAATAATGAAATACAGATAATGGGTGGTTTAGAAATGAATTGAATTGTGTTTTAAGATAGAATAATTAATTTGTAAATGATATGAAATATTTGGCTAAGATAAGATGGAAATGAGAACCTTATCCATGTTTGGCACAAGTTCTTGAAGCTTTCTGATGCGGTCACTGATACGGGTCCTGCGAACCCTTTCGGCAATACTCCTGGGATGCGTAGCACAGCCACGCTTTGCTCGAACTCTACAAGGTAACGAATCCTCAAACGTGAACATGTTGTCCATTTTGATGTCGGGGGGAGTAACCTGAAGTTCGTGAACAGGCACAATAGGAATAATAGTATTGGTATCGGTGTTTATTGAGAAAAGAAGCGAGAAGGTGAAAAGAAGTGAAGGCACCTTGTGTGCGATTGGATTGGGCGTGGGCATGGGCATAGAGGTGGGAGAGTAATCCTGTGTTCCATAGTGTTGGTGTTGGGATGAAGAGGGAGCAGCGATGGTAGAAAGCAGCTGAGTAAAGCTCAAGGGCTCATCTTCACCTTCTTCGCTTTCTTCTTCTTCTTCTTCCTCCTCCTCCTCTTTCAAAAGAAGTGATTCCAACCAGGTCGTCGGAGTTGAGCGGAACCTGGTCAGTCTGGCGGCGGATTTGGGTTGCATCGGGGTCTCTTGTCCTCTCCTCTGCACCTTGATTATAGATAAATTGATCGTGTTGTGTGCCCTGTATGGAGCAGTGCATAGCAAAACACACCCTTCCCTTCCATCTTTCTCATCTCATCTACTTCAGCCGCAAACTTCTGTGTTGCCAGGGCCCCACACCCACTCGCAATTCACCACCACGCGCTCCCTATCCCCTTCCCTCCACCTTCACTGTTACTTTCTTAGGTTAAAACACTGGCATGGTAAAAGAAGTGAAATAATTCATCTTCCAAGTGTGAGTTGTGAAACTCTGTTAATTAGTTTTATTTAATTGATCCATGCCATCCATGCATGGACTTTATAACTAAATAAATGAAAAGCACTGGTTGGCAATCAGATTCAAACGATGAATGCCGATTTAATTAGTAGTTGACCAAATTATTTTTTAGGCTAAATAATATATTATCTATAAACAATAAATAAATATAAAAATGAAAAAATATAAAAAATATAAAATATAAAGAAATAAGAAGTCAAATTTATAAATATGTCAATAGATATGTTTAATGATTTTTAAATTTATAAAACTAAAATCATAAATATAAATTAGAAAATTTTAAGTAACTAAAGTCGTAAATATATATACGTTGCAATTGCAAGTATTACTTCAAATGTAAGCATGTATTCAAGTTCACTCAAACATGTAAGGCTTTAATACGTAGCCACTACTGAGACACAAGATTGTTTCATGTTGTATCACCCACTCCTACTCCTACAGTAAAAAAACTAAATTGAAGAATTTTCAAATGAAGTAAAATATTTGTCATTCGTTCACAATATTCATAAAGTCAATAATGAGTAACTTAGTTAAATTGTAGTGTTATTATGTTTGTTTTTAGAATAGATACCATGTTTGGTTTTTGGCTCTCTTTTTTTTTAAATGGAATTTTAATTTGCTAATATGCAGTACATTTAAAAAAAAATACATATTACGAGAGTGTAAACATATGAGTTTTGTTGTTTTATATTTTAGATTGTGTTTTGATAATTATGAAAATAAAATAAAATAAATCTAAATACAATATAATGAAATAGAATATTATTTTGATGTTTAGATATTTTATAATAAATGAAATAAATTTTATTTCATTGTTTAAAATAGAATTGGTTAATATTTTTGGTCAAAAGGGTGTGGGAATGTTACAACTAATTGAGAATAAGACATTAAAATATAGTTTGTAAAACTTTTATTTTGTTGGCAAAATTTGACTAGGATCTACGTGGTCTTGAAACCAGTATGGCTTAGATAAGAGGGATGGTGCAACAATGAGGTGAGGATTTTTTATATTTAGTCAATATATGAGTAATATATATATATTTGCGCTGATAAAATCTGTTTGTTTGAAATAAGTATGCATTGTGGTTTAAGCCGATCCTCCACATCAGAAAATTGCTTGTTTAATTAAAAGTATATTTGCTGGAAAACTGGGTATTTAAGTCTTCCCGATTGGGTTGCTTGACGCATAATAGGTCAATCCAGATCACATATGTCAGGTTCAAATCCTGATAATTTAGTGTGAAGTAACAAAGCCACGTACTTTGTTTATAAAACTGATTATTCTGTCTGAATTGCTATTTTCTGAAAACTTAATTTTTCATTAGAAATTTTTTTATTAATCGAACCTTGCCTAAGAGTCTTTAAGGATAGATGAGCGTTGGTAAGTCGGTTTAGGTTATAAGTCCAGTGATTGGCAGTAAACCCTGTGGTGTTCCCGTACATCTTAGACCTTGGCCTTAGGATGGCAAAATTAATAAAACTTTTATCTAAGGGAAAAGAAAAGTTAGAAGAAAATAGGAATACAGAAGAAGAAACCAGTAATATGAACCTAGTACACCATGAATTAATAATCCCAAAAATAGAAAATCAGTTAAATAAATGGACCATTCCCAAATTAGAAATATCTAATATCTATAAAACAAATTAGAAAGACATGTTTAAATCATAATATATAGTAAAAATCGTAGATAAAGAAATAGAACTTTTATCAAATCATGAAAAGATATCATTAATAACTAAATCTTTAATAGCAGAACATATAAAAGAATATCGATATCTACATATAGGATCAATACAGATAGCAATAAAATCTCTCTTTAGAAAAGGCATAGATTCACCTATGTTCGTCTCCTTAAGAGATAATAGACTAGTAAAACTTGAAAATCAAATATTAGCAATGTTTGAAATCAACCTGCATAATGGACCAGTATACATAAATAATTACCCAAATTATTCAATAGCCCTTAAAAGTTTGCATAATACAGAAAATAATATAATATTAGACATTAAAATCCCAGAAAACGTATGGAATCCAAAATCAATACCAATAACCATAATATATAGAATATATTATAAGGTAATGAAAACCCAATTAGCCCTAGGCACTAGTGCAAAAAGGGGCTTTTACGTCAGGTATTTAGGGCTTTTTACGTCGTATTTAAGTCCGACGTTAAAGCGGGAGACGTAAATTTACGTCGGACCCTTTTGCCCGACGTAGATTTACGTCAGTTATCAAGATCCGACATAGATTTACAATAAACAGACGTAAAAACCTTTTCAATTAAAAAAAAAACAGAAAATTTACGTCGTATATGGTATACGCGACATAAATTTACGTCACATATACCAATACGCGACGTAAATTTACGTCGCATATACCAATATGCGACGTAAATTTACGTCACATATACCAATATGTGACGTAAATTTACTGTTTTTCTTTTTAAATTGGGTTTATTTATTCTGTTTTACAACTAAAACCTGCAAATAGTAATCCAGACAGATCCAGAGGTTCGAGTTTTCTTTAGCTAGTAAATTAAAAATATAATATTATATAATTCAAACTACATAATAAAACAATATAATACAAACATACAAACTAAAAAATCTATTACAAACTAAGCTACCTATACAAACTAAGCTACCTATACAAACTAAGCTAAACTACATAATACACACAATATAATATGAACAAGAACTTAAAAAATAATGTACTAGAATTGTTGAACAAAAAATTTTGCCCATTGTTCTCTAATTTACGTAATCTCGATTCTCGTAATGGAGATGGATCTTGAAATACCTGAAACATGAATTTGACTCTTGTAAGCATGCAACATGAATAAAGTTAAATAAACTTAACTAATGTTAAAAGTAATTACCTCCAGTCCAAGAATCAATTAAACCCGCACAAACTATGGCTCTCATCCAATACATTACATAATAACCACATTCAAACGAGTCAGTTTGCTTATTACACCGAAATGATGAAAAAAACATAATATTATTTTCAAAATTGAAATACAAACAATAATTATGGTATTCACTTATATAAATAAGTTTCTAACCTTAGGATAAATGAACTGCAAAGTCTTTGTTCTAGGTTTTCCACTTAGAACATTAGTTCCAGACACGATTCTAAGTGAAAAAAAGTCATATATTATTCAATATGTATTCACAATTTAAAAACGTAATTAATGAATAAAAGATAAAGTTACCCTTGTAATAAGCTTTTCATTTCTTGACTCGGTTTCCGATGTAATGAACAAAACCACACCGCGAGTGTAATCCGGGGCATGATTACAATTAACTGCCAATGGGACCTACATTGTATGACATAAAAATTAGTTACAAAAATATAAATTAAAATACAAATTAAAATACTAACCCTTCAATGTATGGAGCCAAATATATATGTCTTCTTGAGTCACTCATCCATGTTTGCATATATTGTTGGATTCCAACCTTTGTATTTCCAGATTTTTGGATGGATTGAGGCTCAATAAATCCGTACACTTCGGATTTTTCTTGTTCCACACTCAAATTGTCAAGGTACCTAAAACAATTAATTATAAGTGGAATATAATTATTATAATCTTAGAAACATAAATGAAAATGACTTACATTGCCCACAATTGTATGATGGAAATGTTTAACATGCAATTTCCCCCAGCAATTTCTAAAGCATCGGGCAAGAAAATGTACAATGGAACACTGGAATTGTCAATTCCAAACACTCTAACATCCCATTGTATCTGACAGGGTCTCTTCCTCAACCGTGGTAATACGGCTAACAACATAGAGATGGGATCATCATCACATTCTGTCAGATCCTCATCAATAATAGGTTTTTTTTTATGCTTTGCACGACGCAAGTCCTCCTAAACAAATGATAACAATTAATTAAACATTTATATAATTATAATACTAGAAAAGAGTAAATAGACAATATGTATATATATATATATATATATATATATATATATATATATATATATTACCTTAGTACTGTGCTGATAGTGGCATAACCAAACGTCTTGGCCAAGCCAAGAATGTCCCGCTTGCCTGCCCCACTAATTGAATCTCTTCATTAGGAAAAGGCACTTGGAGCATTAGCATCATGAACTTCATCAACTACTACTCGTGTCCGAGTCCGGTTGTAGAGGGACACCATGGATGGTTAAGCCACCCTCAAAAACTCGACCAACGAGCCACTAGACGCGGGGGTCATCTTCAACATATAACTCACACCTGGTGTGATGCATCGATCTCGAGTATATTCTCCTGAAGGATCAACAGTAGTAGCAGCACAACTCCCTTTAGTGCTGACTCGAACAATATCATGTTCAATTGTTTGAGGTGTTCCTTGAGTCTCATTCGTTGAGAGCGGGCGAGAGATTCAATTTTCTCATCAAACTCTTGCTCGCAAGGACTGCCTTATTTGATTTAACTTTTCTTCAAACTGCATCTCCATTTTATGCAAGGCCTCCTGGCTGCAAGAGTCGGCAGTGGTCCTTCGTGATGTTGGACCAAAGTAATCACGAAGGCCCCGGGTTCCACCGGCACCACGCACACGTCCTGAGTAATCTGGTTTTCCTATGGCTGTCGCCAATATATCTTGTCGACCATGAGGAATAAATGATCCTTGGCTGGTCTGCTCAACTAAATCATCCTACAACACATTAAC